TACTAAAATATCTCATTATTCTGTAGGTTACTGCTGCACCGACGACCCCTTCTATCAAGCCTGCCAGCCTTACTGACAATCATACTGCAGCTCATCCTCTGATAAAGAGGCGACGTGATGAGGATGATCCTGATAGTGTAACCGGGCCGGTTGAATGCGCCTGAGACCAGCGGCTACTTTAAAGCATAAAGGTTGTGGGATACATATTTTTTTTATTTTATGTACATATGACAATAAGTAAATAATAGCAACTTTATCTATGGTTTAGCATTATATGCGCATTATGTTTTTATTTCTCAGTTTCTTTGTTATTTTAATACTAAAACTGGGGAAAACAAACATAGCAACTTAATATAATTTAAATTCGATACAACTAATGAATATGCCAGACACGGATAACATAAAGATAAAATACTATACTCAACACATACATGTATTTGTTTAGTCACTACCGCCCATTATTCTCTGCTCCAACCACTTAAATTTCTCTTCTATTTTATTTTTTTCTTCTTCCGCCTCTTTTAGTTTCTCCTGTAGTGCTGCAATTTCTTGTTGCATTTCAGAGATCTGGCGTTGGATTCACCATTCATATTCCAAACATACTACAAACTTGATTTGCAGTATTCCTGGTTAATGGGTTCATCATATCATTCCTCAAACATACATTGATTCCCATCATTGCGTCCAAACAATTGCTGACACATCCAGTATCTGCACCCAACATTACCATCGGACCAACATGCCTTCAAAGTCGCACGTTTGTCACAATAGCACCTTGGTTGGTCATTGCGTCCAGACAATTGTTAATGTAAGAAAAATAAAAAATTTATGGAAAGTTTTGCTATTTGTTTTGGTTAAGCATAGATAATAACTAAAATGCGTTAGTCATTTATAGGCAAAAAAACCCCATAACGTGGTATTTAACCGCACTATGCTTCGTGTTCTAATGATTCTTTACGGCCAGAAGACAGCTTTTCTAGAATGGCAGCTTTATCGGGTTGACAAGACAATACACATAACGTGGTATGTAATCGCGCTATGCTTCGCGTGCTAATGATTCTTTTACGGTACAATAAAGCTTTTTCAGAAGACAGTTTTCCAGAATGTATTTCTCAAATCTTTTCATTGGTATTGGCATAAATTCAACACTCCTCTCCATTAATGACGATGCACCTCTAGCCCTTTCAACAAACCTCTCCGCCATCTGTTTGAATGACATCCGCACCATGGCAGTTACAGAAAATCCACGTGTAGACTTCAATAAGCGTTGAAAGACTCTAACATATTTGTAGTCAGGGTTCCCCGTCGTCTGCCACCATCTGCATGCAATGTCCATTTGTCAAGTTCATGTCGTATCAACCAATGATAGGCTCCTTCGTCTTCATGTCTGATCGATTCCATGCGCCTCTAGAATTTGCACTCGTGGTGATCAGTTGCAGCCAACCATATTAAATCATGCAAGTCCTTGTTGGAATGTGCCTTCTGAAAATTGGCATTCAGGTGCCTCACACAGTAACGATGGTATGCATACGGTTCCTGTCATGCAGGCAAATGATGTACAGAACATAAAATACCGCCATGTCGATCAGATATTAGACAAATACTTGAACGTTCTCTGACAACATGCTCCTTCAAGTGGTTTAAAAATAGCGTCCACGTCTCTTGGCTTTCATTGGCAAAAATAGCAAAAGCTAGGGTAAATATACCTTCATTACAATATACTGCAACGACGATCAACAACTTAATATCATATTTTCCATAGACATGAGTGTTGTCTATGGATATTACCGGCCGGCAATGCACAAAACCATCAATTGCTGGTTTGAAGGCCTAGAACACATATCTGAATATATTTTCTGGTATTCCAGGACTCACTCAAGCTTTCATTCATCAACAGTCCCGGGGGTTAAAGTGTTGCAATGCGCCCATGCACCTGGGTAGAGATGCAAATGACTTATCCCAGTCTTCGTAAATAATTTCAAAAGCACGCTTGCGCTCGAGAAATGTCTTTATTTTGGTAATGGTACACCCATATTCTTGGTGGACAGATGTACTACACTTTTTGATCTTGTACCTTATGGAGGCTTCAATGTGTGGAATCAAGAAAAGAGAAATGAAGTCAACATCCAAGTTAAAGTGATTCCCACTGAATGTGTCCATTTCACAATTGTGGGTGCCAATGTATTTACCCACAACCCACATATTTATTTTCTTCTTCCTCGCACACAGTATCTAATTACAACCCGTAAACCATCTACGGCAAACAACAATGTATACATCCGGAGATGACTCCCATACCATTATCTCACGGCACTGTTTTATGCTGTATATTTTCACCGCCCTGCTTAGGCGCACTTTATCAGGAAAAAACATGCCTTTTGACAGCACCATTGATCTAGATTCATCCCACATCATTGTTCGAATTTCGTCAATATCCCTTGTAAGGGCATCCAAAACCGGCATACTTGGCAAATGATCAAGGTAGGGAATATGCCTTGAATGAAACGGCATGTGGGACTCGTACACTCTTGGTCTAACGGGAGGTGGAGCATGCTCCCTCGTCAGCATTCTCTTCCTCCTCACTATCACCCTCGTCACGGAAAGGTGTGTCATCTCTAGACTCATCAGCATTGTTGTCATAATCACTATTCTCTTCCTGACTCTGCGCATCTACCAGATCCCGATTAAATATGTCGTCTTCGGGCAATTGAGTAAGGACAGGACCATCAAGTTGCTCATTTTCACTGCACAACCAAAGAAATAATGAGTTACTCAAATTGGTCCAAACAATACATATAACTTTATATATTCACTTACAAATCATAATATGTTGATATCTCATTATGCACATTATCTTGTTGATACTGACTCCTGGATGGACCACCATGATCCAACATACCAAAACTAGGCATATTCCAACTGGCCGTTGGTTCATAACTTATAAAATTCATAAATGGTAGGTACCCCCTATGGAATATATGAGTGTTAATACAAATACAATACATAAAAATATACATCGTAACACAAAGGAAAATTGAAGTTTACCACTCGGATTGTGGATTATGTAAACAATGGGAGAAATTATTTTCTTGCTCCTCATTCGCCCGTGGAGATAAGTTTAGATTCGGCCAAACTCTTTCAGCCGGAACCTGTTCGGCTAAAACTGCTCCAAAATAACCACCCGATGATTGAGGGATTTCCCTACTTTGCACAACCACATTATTGCGTACGTCTTCAGCCTTGACGTACATTTCCAACAATTTTATCACAATAAATTCCCAGTATTCATCCGGAGTCCTCAAAAAATCTCTCAGAGTTTCATCGTCTTTGATGTTAAACTCAGCATAACAAGCAACCCCTTGCGGAGTCACAGAATACGGATATCTTCCGGTTATTTTAAGATTCACCGAACGTTTGCTCACACTCATTTTTTTACATAACAACGATAGTAATGTATCATACTCCATTGTAAGTGGCAACTTAACATAAGACTGTGGAGATAAAGTATAACTTACTGAGTTATTCACCACCACAAATACCCTCCCCCCTCCTCCCCAATATAATGAAACTCTAATTCATCGCTCTTCAGACATTATGACAAAATGCAAAACAACTTAACAAAGAAAAATTTCACAAGACTTGAGAATATTTCTTAATTGATTTTTACAAAATCCTTAACGTCTTTAAATAAAGCAAAAATCAGTCGGCAGGGGGGGGGGTTAATTATTTGAGGTATAACGTCTTAGCTTAGGACGCTATACCCAATTGAATTATTGTTATGTTAGTTAAGCCCAGAAGAATTATTTGTGGGCCCACATAATATATATAGCGTCTTAGTGAAAAATGTCATATATGTAGCGTCTTTTTAAAAGACACTATACTTAACTGGCCAAATGATCGTTAAGGTATAACATCTTTTAAAAAGACGCTATACATATTTTGGTCACTATATTTTTTTTCCACATATTTTTGTTCTTTTAGTCCAAAAGAACTACATTTTGGTTCCGGACTCAAGATACTAGCAATTAATACTCAACAACAATAACAATAATATATAAATGGGGCCCGATAAGGGTAAGGTGTATGCTTACCTCTAAGCTCAAGAAAAACGCATTTTCAGAACAAGTTTGAAAAATATAAGAGTATTTATTGGTTTCCAACAATTAATACTTTCACTCCTAAATGGTTTTCAGCTCGCGAGATTTAAAACTATAAAACATAGATTTATAGTTTAGATAGAAAGTCCATTCTTTTACTACTAGAGAGAAAATGTGGACATGAAACTCTACCACTATCAGGGGCGGAGGCAGCATGTTCTCTACGATTCGGTCGAACCCAATAATTTTGGTTCAAACCCTTTATTTATTTTTAAAAATTTATTAAATATATACAATTTATTTATTTAAAAAGATTAAAATTTTTGAACCCATAAACTTTAAATTCTGGCTCCGCCTCAGACCATTATAAATTTAATTATTGGTATTTGATATTGTAATTTAACTTATCTGTCAAAAGTCTTAATTTTTTGTTTAGTTAAACACCTCAACATAAAATAGGGAGGACGTTGCTATTAATTTTTTCTCATAAATATTCTAATATCTTTTTTTCTTGTGAAATTCATGACGTTAGTTCGAATAACTCTTTTACGTTTGCACCAAAAAAAAAAACTCTTTTACTATTTTAACTTTTCAAGATTTTTTCTACTTTTAACTCAAACTCAACTATAGATAAAACGCGTATCCAATATTCATATTGGGTACGATTATATTTGAATTGGTGCCATTCGAAAAGAAGATCTCTTAACTAGGGATTTTTTCTAACTTATAGATTAAACTCGAGACTTTTGATTAAGCCTCTGTGCGCTGCATCACATTGTGGTTCAAACACGTACTTATATAAAGTCTTTTGTGTCCACCTGTACCTATGACACCTCATGCGTGATGTAGTCGCGTCGTTACGTGACTGTCATTAACCACATCGTGCCAATATCAAACACAATTCAAACAAAGCACTCAACCCTTTGAATAATAAAAAGGCGCACTCTTTTCTAACACTTGTCTTTCTTCTCACTTTCCTCTTCTCTTTTTCCCTTTCTCCGCCATGGATTCTCTCGCTCTCTTTGCCACCGCTTCCCTTCTCGCCGGCGGCCTTTACTGGTTCGTTTGCATCCTTGGCTCCGCCGAGGTTAAAGGTAAACGCGCCGTGAACCTTTCCGGCGGTTCAATAGCCAAAGAAAAAGTCCAAGACAAGTACAAACAGTACTGGTCTTTCTTTCGCCGTCCTAAAGAAATCGAAACTACCGAAAATGTCCCTGCTTTTGTTGACACTTTCTATAACCTCGTTACTGATATTTACGAATGGGGTTGGGGTCAGTCTTTTCATTTTTCCCCTGCAATCCCCGGAAAATCTCATCGTGAAGCCACGCGTATTCACGAGGAGATGGCCGTGGATCTCTTGGGCGTCAAGCCCGGAGCCCGTGTTTTGGATGCAGGCTGCGGGGTTGGCGGACCGATGCGAGCTATCGCCGCTCATTCGGGCTCCAACATTGTTGGCATCACCATTAATGAGTACCAAGTAAACCGGGCCCGGGCCCACAACAAGAAAGCGGGCCTGGACTCACAGTGTGAAGTTGTTTGTGGTAATTTCCTACAAATGCCATTTGCTGACAACAGTTTTGATGGAGCTTACTCCATTGAAGCAACATGCCATGCACCAAAACTAGAAGAAGTATACAGCGAAATATACCGGGTCTTGAAACCTGGATCCATGTACGTATCCTACGAATGGGTAACAACCGAATTATACAATTCGGATGACCCGGAACACGTAGAGATAATCCACGGTATTGAAAGGGGTGATGCATTACCTGGTTTAAGAAGTTACAGTGACATTGCTGACGTGGCTAGGAACGTTGGATTTGAAGTAGTGAAGGAGAAAGATTTAGCTAAACCGCCAGCGAACCCGTGGTGGACGAGGCTGAAAATGGGGAGAATTGCTTACTGGAGAAACCATATTGTTGTTACAGTACTTTCTTGGCTTGGTATTGCACCTAAAGGTACAGTAGATGTGCACAAAATGCTGTTTGTGACTGCGGATTATTTGGCTAAAGGTGGTGATAAAGGGATTTTTAGTCCTATGCATATGATTTTATGCAGAAAGCCTGAAGAACAGTAGCCATCTTCAGATTAGGAGATTGACTATGAAGGTTAATTTCAGAGTACTGTTGTTTTATTTGGTGATCTTTGTTCTTATTTTTATTTTTTTGGGTTTATTGGATTTAATTTAATGGCATTTTTGACCTTTTTCTGTTTCTTTGTATAATTTCTAGCTTGATATATTGCTTTTGTTGTATTAGAAGATAACTTTGGTTATTTGTTCCAAGGCCTAAACTAGTAAAGAATCCATCTTTAGTTAAATTACATTGAAATTTGTAGTGGAAATGCTGTTGATTCTGTGTACCCTTCACTCTGTAATCTCAAATTTTTGGTGATGATACTCAATTATGCTGTCGATTTTTTGTTTTTTTTTGGGGGGGAGAGGGTGGGAAGGGTTCGTGAAAGGAAGAGTTTTGAAAATACTTTATCGGAGCACCCAAAGGTGTGTTGAGAATCATGAAGTCTCGGCTTCAAGACACTATGGTTATCCTTTGAAATCATACAGCACGTCTAGTCTGGACACCATGGTTTTTCCAAAAAAATAGAAGTTTCTTTATCCGAAAAGAAACAAAAGAGTCTTGAAAATGTGATGGCACAATTATGGAGAAGAATTGAAACTTTGATGACAATGCAGCATTGGATGTCAAGTGAAAGGGGTAATCTGTTTCCAGCTTCATTTTACTAGTACTATTTGGTGGGTAAATTAGTTGGTGTGTGGTATAGATCTCTTGTTTGATTTGTATTGCTAGCAATTTTGGAGCTTGTGTTGGCCGGCTAAGTTGCTGGCTTTGGCTCTTTCTATGCTGTTGTACAACTGCTGCATGTCTTATTCCCGCATTATTATATTACATTTACACGTGATTTTGTTTAGCTGAGCGATTTGCTTGCCCCTGTGAGGTCCTTTTGTCTTGTGGTCGCCTGTACAGTTTTGATGCCCCAAATAAAAGTTACTGTAGTTTTTGGTCGATTAAATCTGTGAGCAATAGCTTCCTTCGGTTGAAAAGGTTATGAAATAAGTAGGCAGTAGTTCAAACTTTTTAATCTAATGTTAAAAGTAGATTGCAGGGTCGAGAGTGGACGGATCACGGATGGGATACTAGGTTAATAGGGAGAGGGTGTTTGGCTAACATTATAGCCTAGTCAAACTGCTTTATAAGCACCTTTTAGCTTATCTACTCGTTTGATAAACACCTAAAATGCTTATAAGTCAAGTGCTTATAAACTAAAATCTATCATAAGTCATAAGTTGGTCACTTCCAACTTATAAGCACACCTAGTTTTATCAAGAGTTTTACTAGTTTATCCTTAGTAATATTTTTTAATTCACAAAATATTTTTCTCAAAATAAATTTTTAACTTTCTCTTCATTCCATATTCGATGTTCGTCCTTTTCTTTACAAAGAAACTTTTTGAATTATCATCTTTTATAAAGTTTTAAAGGGTATTTTAGTCATTTTACTAAAAACTGTTTGTCAACATCAACCGCTTATTATTAGTTCGAGCACGTCTATAATGTTTATGTAAAAGATTAGTTTTAACACTTAAAAATACTTTTTAGCACTTTAAGTTTATCAACTATTTACAATCAGCAAATCCAAACGGGATTAATATTTTTTTTTCCACAGTATTATCTTACCTAAACAGTAAAAATATATGTAGGATCCTGAAGAGACCTTTGTTGTTTAAATAATCTTTGTTGACAGCAAAAATTGCACAATGCGTATTAGTCTTGATTAGGTTGGTGTAGGGTCTTCTTTAATATGTTTTTTCTCAATATGTTCTGCAGAGGCATGTCTCACGGTTTTAAGCTTATTCTATTTGTATGGTTAAGCACTAAGAAATAAGAATATTTGTTGTCAAAGTGCAGCGTAATGCTCGGTTTAACAATATTTTTTCTGTGGCAAAATGCTGCTAAATGCAGTTTGAAAGAGTAATTTAATTATATACTGAGACAATAGTGGCATGGCATGTGCTTATGCTTTTGGATTTGTGGCATAACTTGGCCTTTGCAGATCTGAATGTACTTTGTTTATTGGAAATATACGTGGTTAGTTCCATCCAGTTATGCGTGCATTTAATTAATCAAGTAAATCAGTTATTCCAGCATCATTACTGCTAATGATGAATATGTTTGAAAGAGAAAACTTTTAGAGGGGCATGTGCATATTTAGGCAATAAAAGGGAGATCAACGGTAAAGTTGTTTCGGTGTGATCACGTTTTTAATCCGTAGAAGTATCCGCTAATAAAGCATTAGGGTAGGCTATCTACATCAAACTCACTGGGGTGCAGTGCTTTCTCGACCCTGCGTGAACGTGGTATACTTTGTGCACTGAACTATCTTTTTATGTGCATATTTAGGCAATAAATGGGAGATATGGAGCAACGGTAAAGTTATTTCCCCGTGATCACGGTTTCAAGCTGTGGAAGTCACTAATGATGTATTAGGGTAGGTTGTCACATCCACTAGGGTACGACTCTTACTTGAATCCTACGTGAACATGGAATACCTTGTACCCTGGACTATCTTTTTATGTGCATATTTTAGGCGATACAACTTCAGTTAGAAATGCATTGACATCTAGCAGCATGCGCTTCTTTTCCCCACCAGGGTAGCACGCACGAGATCCTTTTGGTCTGGACTAGACAACTTACTCCATAAATCAGATCTTTTATGTTTCATCTCGTTCACAGCAGTATAAATATTATTTTTTAAAAATTAGCAGCTTTTAAATCAACAGTTACAACAGGCGGACTCGTCTAATACTGTAAACATTTGGTCCAACCATCAAAGGTTTATTGCGGAATTGATAGGATCCCTTCATCCTTAATCAGAGGTCTCAGGTCTGAGCTCTAAGAATGTTAAAAAAATTCCTGTGGGAGGCGTTTTTCCTTTTAATGAACCTTACATGGCTCTGATACGGATTTTCAATGATGTCTTTAGACTCTTGCAGTGAAATTAACTGAATGACAATCATCTTTGGCCCAACTATGCGAAGCTATCGATTTTATAGCCTAGTCAACTCCAAAATTCCTTATATTTTGCTATAATTGATGAAACTTACTTTTCAGGATTCGTCATGAAAAAGTAACTTCATAATCTAGAGCATGTCTAATCCAAGGCTGTGTTATTCAAAAAGAATCAGCTTATAACAATAAATTGTGCTTCATACATAAAAAGGGCTTTATAATTCCTAGTTGCCCCTAATATTGCTGAAGTTTAAACAAAACCAATACACTGCAGTATGCCCTCTTAATACAATAATAATAAATTACACGATGTAACTGGTTCTCAAAGTAATATCATTGTCTTCAAATTATTTAGCTGAAAGGAGATGCACAAAGTGGAAAAGCTCGTGACCCAACATATCGTCAAGCTCACACCAAGGTAATTGTACAAGAGACTAACGTATAAAGCCAGTTCCTTCCCATCAATTAGATGCATCGCGGCTGTAATACTGATCCAATGTCTTTGCTGGGATACGATGCAAAAGCTCACGAGGGAAGATTCGAAGAAGTGTCCAAGCTAAATCAAGCGACTGGAATATATTGCGGGTGTCATAAGCTCCTTGAGCGACAAACTTCCTCTCGAATTTGTCAAGGAACTCTAAGTAAAGCTGTTTTAACAAGGAGTCTCAAGTCATCTCATCATTGAATTATTGATAACAAAGGCAAGACACAGCTTAATTATTTAAACCAAAAACTTTTCTCGAGCTACATACCAGGTCCTCAGAAGAAAGTGCTTCTTCTCCTACCACAGCTTTCATCGCTTGAACATCCTTTCCAATGGCATAATTTGCATACAACTATAGTATTTTAAGATCAATGCAAAAGGGAAAAATTAGCAACATTAACAGAGGTAAAAGAGATTAACTTTGCATAAGGAATGAAGATGAATCGAGCAATGAAGTACATGTTTTTACCAAAAGTTGAACTTACCTGGTTGGATACATCAGAATGATCCCTCCTGGTCATACCCTCACCAATGGCACTCTGCAAAAAAATTTAAGGCTGAATTAGAATAATCACATGTTAGGCGTCCTCTAAAATTGTTAGAAGTGTCTGATAGATTAGAAAATGAGGTCCACATACTCACCTTCATCAACCGAGATAAGGACGGAAGCACATTAATTGGTGGGTATATCTGTTACAGTTCAAAAGGGAAACAATCTTTTGAGTCATTTCTGTTCAAAACCCAAATGTCATCCAAGGAGTAAACACATTCAATAATGGCTAGTAACAGACGTGGCAACCTTCTGTAGTGGTATGAATGGACAATTTGCCAAATTAAAGAAAAACTTGACTTAGCAAGCAACGGGGCTGTTTACAGTAACTGAGTACTTCACAAAGACAAACATTCTCTCTTTTTTAATCAGGTAAGGTATTTCACATACATTGTTGCTTCACTGTTCGACGTACTCGTCTGTTATTGAATGAAGCATTACAAACAATGGATGGTCTACTGCAAAGAAAAAGAAAATCTGTTTCGCCGAAAAAATCTTTTTGTTTCACACGAATGACCGTAATTTCCGAAGTATAACAGTACATGATTTTTCTTTTCCTGGCAAGTCTTTTTCACTTTCTGAAAGTAAGCAAATTTACCCAAAAATTAAGTTAGAATCCCATTTTACATGTCCTTTGACTGAACACACTCCTACGAACATTTTGAAAAATGAACATCAAATGGTTATCTTAAGATGCAAGGATGAAATTGGCCAATTAAGCCTATGTCTGGTGAATCTAATGACATCAAGGCTTTCATGGAAATAAAACTAAGACATGGAAAGCGTAATGCCTGGCCTTATGGGCTATCGCCATACAAGTACAATAACTCTCTTTAAGTCCTATGCGCCATTTCCTGATATTCATTTCAGTTACCAAAATCCAATTAGAAAGTAAAATTAGAAGTTCGAAATACTAGTGGCATGCAGTTCAGGAGAGGTGTAGCGCAATGAGCAAGTGCAAAGTATAAAAGTATCAAGTCTTACATTAGAGCATAGTTTACACTAACATAATTTAGACTGACATAATAAGAGGAAGAGGAGACACATTGGTTCAAATTCCCTCCTAGGGAAGAAATGAAAAGGGGTTTTAATAACATTCTCCGCTTAAGTAATATTTACTTATCCATTTTTCTGAGGCGGTGCTTGGAATTGAGGGAAGAGAAGAGAAAGTAGAAGTTAAAAATTCACAAATTTTCCCACGTTTTAGCTTAACAATAGAACAAAGAGTTCATTAATCATTGTTCCCCTTTCTGTCTATT